CTGGGCGGTCGGCGCCGTGGACCCGCGGGCCGGGCCGTCGGGGGACGAGGGCGGCGGCGGATGGAGGAAGAGGAAGGGGGTAGGGGGACGGCGGTGCAGGAGGAGGAGGGGAAGGAGGAGGGGGACGAGGAGGAGGAGTAGGAGGAGGAAGAGGAGGAGGAGGAGGACTTGCCGTCGCTCGGACGTCCATTTCCCGTGCATTTTTCGGTTTCGTGCGTTTTTTTGGGCCCGATGGTCCAGGATGGTCCTCGATGGATCTCGCCGAGGATCAATGCACACGTCCGAGCGATGCCAAGAGGAGGAGGGAAGAGGGAAGAGGAGGGAAGCGGAGGGAGGAAGAGGACGGGAGGAGGATAGGGGAGACGGGGAGGGGAGGGAAGCGAGGGGAGGGCGGGAGGAAGACCTCGGGCACAGCTCTCGGGCTTCGTCCCGTCCGCCTTCGCCTCCTGACTTCCTCCTCCTCCCCCCCCCCCGCTCACCACCCCCTGATTTCCCCGCTCCGCCACCCAGTCCTCCTCTTCCGCTGCCTGACCCCTCCCTCCTGCCTGCCTGCCTGCCTGCCTGCCTGCTGCTCTCTCTCTCTCTCTCTCCGCCTTATTCCTCCGCCATTGCATCCCGCGCCGGGGGCCAAGCCATCCTCCTTCCTCCCTCCCCCTACCCCCCAATCCTGCTCCTTCTTCGAACCCATTTTTGCCCGCGGCCGCCCTTCAACCCCTCCCATCCCTGATGGGGCCTTCTTCGGGTCCAGCGGGAACGAATAGGGAGCCTGGCAATCCGACAAAGACAGTCGTTCTCCCCCTCCTCCTCCTCCTCCTTCTTTCCCTAACCTCTATTCGGCGTGGACGTCCGAAGCGATTTGCGTGCGCATATTATCTAGCGCGTTTCTTTCTTGGTGTCTGAATATGTGGACGCCGGATTGTGAGTTATAATACTCTTGGCTAATGCGCAAGTATGTGCACACCTGAATGCTCATGACTCTGAATGTGAATGACTGCATATGCGTGGATCTGGGTATGAGTCTGCCCGAGTATGTTCGGGTCTGAATACACGTGAGTCTGGATATGAGTGGGCCTGCGTATGAGAGATTATGAAACATGTGTGAGCGTGTTTCCCACGAGCCCTTGAGCGCGTGAATGGGGTAAGAGCGTTTCCTCTTCCAACTTCTTCCCCTTCGGGGAGGGGTTTTTCATTTCCCCTATGAAGAAAAAACCCTCCCCGAGGCGGCCGGCAACCAACCAGGACCAATGCAGACCCCCCCACCATCCCTGAAGTACACTTTGGGGCAAATTCTTGGGTCATCATCGGGAGGGCCGCGAGCACTTTCTGTTGTTTTTGACAAGGGCGGCGGGGGTGCTCGCATATTGCCTGCTTCTCGCAGGGCCAACATCCCTGTTAACAGTATTTATTTTGCTTTGAATCCCACCTAACTCTCGGCGTTCGATCCCGACGGTGCTCGCGCCCATTGGAACGATGTGCGCGTGGCACGGGGGTGTCGACCAGTGCGGCAGCTGACTAGGTCGCAAGATGCCGTCCCCCTGAAATCCTACGGCCCCAGAGCTAGTAGTAGTAGTAGTAGTAGTAGTAGTAGTAGTAGTAGTAGTAGTGGTAGTAGTAGTGGTAGTAGTAGTAGTAGTGGGAGTAGTAGTAGCAGTAGCAGTAGCAGTAGCAGTAGTAGTAGTAGTAGTAGTAGTAGTAGTAGTAGTAGTAGTAGTAAAGATATGATTAGTAGAAGTAGTAGTAGCATTCGTAGTAGTAGTAGTAGTAGTAGTAGCAGTAGCAGTAGTAGTAGTAGTAGTAGTAGTAGTAGTAGTAGTAGTAGTAGTAGTGATAGTAATCGTAGAAGTAGTAGTAGTAGTAGTAGTAGTGATAGTAATCGTAGAAGTAGTAGTAGTAGTAGTAGTAGTAGTAGTAGTAGTAGTTGTTGTAGTAGTAGTAGTAGTAGGTAGTAGGTAGTAGGTAGTAGGTAGTAGGTAGTAGGTAGTAGGTAGTAGGTAGTAGGTAGTAGGTAGTAGGTAGTAGTAGTAGTAGTAGTAGTAGTAGTAGTAGTAGTAGTAGTAGTAGTAGTAGTAGTAGTAGTAGTAGTAGTAGTAGTAGTAGTAGTAGTAGTAGTAGTAGTAGTAGTAGTAGTAGTAGTAGTAGTAGTAGTAGTAGTAGTAGTAGTAGTAGTAGTAGGTAGTAGTAGTAGTAGTAGTAGTAGTAGTAGTAGTAGTAGTAGTAGTAGTAGTAGTAGTAGTAGTAGTAGTAGTAGTAGTAGTAGTGTAGTAGTAGTGGAAGTAGTAGTAGTCGTAGTAGTGGTGGTAGTAGTAGTAGTAGTAGTAGTAGTAGTAGTAGTAGTAGTCGTAGTAGTAGTAGTAGTCGTAGTAGTAGTAGTAGTAGTAGTAGTAGTCGTAGTAGTAGTAGTAATAATAGTAAGAGAAGTGGTGGTAGTAATAATAGTCGTAGCAATACCAGTAGCTTTAATAGGAATCGTAGTCGTAGTAGTAGTAGTAGTGATAGTGATAGTAATAGTAGTAGTGGTAGTGATAGTAGTAGGAGCAGTAGCAGTAGCAGTAGCAATAGTAGTAGTAGTAGTAGCAGTAGTTGTTGTCGTCGTCGACATCGTGATGGTCTCAGCAATAGTAGCAGTAGAAGTAGCCGTAGTAGTAACTAGTGGTCGTGGTAGTAGTAGTAGTCGTAGTAGTTTTAATAAGGTCAGTCGTAGAACAAGTCGTAGTCGTATCAGCAGTAATAGTAGCAGTAGTAGTAAGCAAAAGAAAACTAACAATATAAGAAGGTGTAGTGGTGGTGGTCGTTATAGTAGTAGTACTCGCAGTAGTAATAATGAAAATACGAGTAGTCGTGGTAGAAGTCGTAGTAGTAGTAGTAGTAGTAGTCGTAGTAGTAGTAGTAGTAGTCGTAGTAGTAGTCGTAGTAGTAGTCGTAGTAGTAGTCGTAGTAGTAGTAGTAGTAGTAGTAGTAGTAGTAGTAGTAGTAGTAGTAGTGGTAGTAGTAACAGTAGTAGTCGTACGAATAGCAGTAGCAATCGGAGTAGTCAACATAGTAACAATAGTCGTAGTAGTAGTCGTAGAAGTAGTCGTAGTCGTAGTCGTAGTAGTAGTAGTAGTAGTAGTAGTAGTAGTAGTAGTAAAGGTAGTAGTAGTGGTAGTAGTAGTAGTAGTCGTAGTAGTAGTAGTAGTAGTAGTATTCGTAATAGTAGTAGTAGTGGCAGAGGTAATCGTCGATGTAAGGGCAACCTGGCGTGACGTCGTGAGGCCTGTCACGTGTGATGCGTCGTCCAATCGGTCGTTGCTCCGCCTGTTGGGTCCACTGGCCAGCCTGTCCTCGGCGCGAACGTCGCGTTTGATAGGGTTACAAGACGGTGTGGTATGTCATGATGTTTCTCTTCAACTTGGTTTTTGCTGTTCTGAAGTATGCTCGTCTGGTCTGTGGCACCGTGCTACAACATTTGGTATGTCAAATTGCGTTACGCTATGCGTTGCTCAGTGATGATGCTTACTTTATGCTGAGTTCATTGCAATATATGTTGTCCTGCTCTGTTATGACATGCCTCTGCCTTTCAGGTATAGAATATGGTGATATCCCAAGCTTTTTGACGGAGGATCAGTAGTCAACGAGTTATGCTATGCTATGCAAGTTACGTTGTGCTCCGCACTCTATTAATTACATTGTGCCATATTATGTTGTCCTCTGCAATCTGAGAAAATCTAAGACATTTGAATACATGTTTTGCCGTCGTGGAAACATTAGTAAAGCAATTATGGTACGCTCTGTTCAGATCTGTGATGATTTATTCCCCGCTCTAAATGTCATGGTATGCGTTGTTATTATGTGTTGTGCTGGATGTTACGCTCTGCCATGCTGTGTTCTGTCAAGACATCGTATTGTGTTATCTCTTATGTCCTGATCTGTTAGAAGATATTATGCCGAGATCGGTCATGGTATGCTTTGTCATGTCACGGAATTACGTGATAATGTGTTGTGTTCTGATGTGTTGTCATCGTGTGAGATGTTCTGCTCTGTTCTCTCACGCTATGCTCCGGTGTGCTGTCTTGTTTGGTCTGATGTGTAGTGTTATATTGTGCTCTATATGCTCCATGATGTCATTGCATGCGTTGGTGTGTTGTCCCTTGTCCTGCTCCGACATGCTATGACATGGTATGGATCGTTATGTCATGGTGTTATGCTATATTGTGGTATGCTATGCTGTAATGTGATATTCCGCGCTCTGTCATCGTATCAATTCCATGTTACGGTATGCTATGTAATTGGATGCTGTGCTACGGTGTGATCTGGTCTGCCATGGTATGCTATGCTATGACATGTTAGGCCATGGCACGTTGTAATATGCTCTATCATATTATATTATGAGGTGTGGCGTTATACTCTGATGTGTATGGTCAGTTGTGGCATATCTTACGGTGTTATGCTATGTTATGTGATGCCATGGTGTACCATCGTATGTCGCGCTCTGTCATAGGTGCTACGATGCTACCTGTCGTGTTATCTGTGCTGTGATGCTGTGGCATGTTGTGGTGTGTTATGTCATGGTGTGTTAAGTCATGATATGTTTTGTCATACCATGCGTTGTGATGCTGTGTTGTGCCATGCTATGCTATGTCATGCTGGGTCAGGCTGTGGCATGTGATGTTTTGGTATATTCAGTTATATGATGTTTTTGTATGGCATGTATACTTTATCGTGTTATGTAATGGTATGTGCTCTGATGCTGTACTGTGGTATCCACTGCTCTGTCACAATCTGTCATGCCACGATATGGTATGCCGATATGTAGTATGGTGTGCTCGGATCTGTTATGTCAAGTGTTGTGCCGTTAAACTCTGTTCTGTCATGGCTTATAATATTGTGCCATAGCATGTTCCGCTATCTTGTAAAACCGCGCTTTCATGGTATGAGCTGCTGGCGCGAGGATGGGCACTCGGGGGCTGGCGGCCGTGGGCATGCAGAGTGGCGCGACGCGGGGCTCTCGGGGGCACACCGGG